AAGCCTGAGGGAATCACACACTGCCACTGTATTATCAGCCTGTAACATTCTTATGTAACAGCTTCAAAGCCACTAAAGATGACCCTGGGCTTTTGTCCTAGTGTAAACACTATCCTGACATCAGAATCCACAAATCCTACACTACACATTATAGTTTTGTTCTGTAATGTAATAGACCGTGTAAATGGTCTGCAGATTAATTAAAGGAAAGCACCACCCTGAAAAACATGTTGATGTTGAAACATTTGTGATGTGTGTAGTGATTAGGGTGCTAATTTTTTTGGTTGCTGCTGTATTTTCCTTATTCCTGTTAAAAGTTAGACGTTGTCTGTCACACTTACATCATTGCTGGTGCAGTTTTAAAAGGAGAAAATGTTTCAACAACCTCAAACATACAGTCAGATTTTGTTATCATCTCCTAAAAACAGAAGAGCAAGAGCTTCTCAGCATTTTTCAATTTTCCAGCGATGTTCAGTGTCACATTAATGAGAAATCCAACATAGAAGTAGTGGAGACACCAAACGTTGGACTTCCAGAGTGCAAAGCAGCCATAAGACACATGTTGCGACACATGAGATGATGCATCAGAGACTCTACTGACCTAGTTAATGATCTACAAGATGATGAGTATGATGACGTTGATGACAGTATTAGCATGAAAGTTGAAGGTTTGTGAAAATAGACCAATTTGTCGATTAAATAAGTTTAGGCCAAAATCTCCACTCAGAATTTAATCACAACATAAATCTTTTTTGCACAATTTAAGATCACACATTGAGTATAAACATTGATATGGAATGCGCTCAGGGTGCACATTTCCTTTAAAGTAAAGGTCTAATTTTTCTCAATTACAGATCTTCATTGTTTTTATTAGGGCAGCTTGTAAAAGTATACATTCTAGGATACAATTCATTTCAAGTACAGGCATGCCTGTAAGGTGTCTGATGCAAGAAGTATCAGTTAGTGAGAACTAGGCTTGTGCATATTGATTTATTTCACTTTCTTGCGATTTACCATTTTAAAATCTTGAGAAACCATTTAATCACCCAGAACTGAATAAATTGCTTAAAAAAGACAGGAAAACAAGCATTTGTAATTGAGTAATGGAGGGTGTAATAATATTATCAACTGTGCAGTCAGGAACTGCTTGCGGGCAGTGGCAGTCACAAAAACTCAGCTGGATGGTGGATTTAGGTGATTCTGCAGTACAGTGTAGTGAACAGGTGAAATAAAATCAGTTGTCTAATATCCACATGGCTGGCAATTTCACTGTTCATCTTCTGCTCAAAATGTTTGCTTCAGCTTTTATGTTTAGTAGGTGTGTTTATGTGAAATGTCACTATTCTGAGGTCTTCACTGTCTGTCTCTCTTGACTTTGCAGGCAGTAGGGAAATGTGCAGATGTTGTCTGCCGATGGCTTCATTCCACATTTGTAGGGCTCTGGCAGGGTTTTCATCAATCTGAGCAAGTTTCAAACTCCCTTCTGTGCGGTATCTGACAGCACTGAGCACTCCTGCAGTGAGACTGGTGACAAGAGTGAGACGAACAGAATCTCTAGCAGTGGATGTCTCCAACTGCTTTATTTGTAGCTGTCACTAATCTTGTGCTGTATACGACCCTTGAAAGGTTCAATCAGTAGAGCTCATCTGTGAAGTAATTCACTTCAGCTGTTCATTTTAGAGCCATAATCATTTGGTAAACAGCCACAAACTATAGTCTCACAGGTGTAGACCAACTAAAAATATGGACCATGGTATTTACTCAGTGCCTCGTTTCTGCTCCTGTGCCAGATGCCCGGGTGGTTGGAGGCTCAGATGTCTTAATTTCCTCTGTTAACCGTGTGGATCAGTAACAGATACTCACCAAGGGACTTGCATTCAGGTGAATGCTGTACATCATTTCCTACTCTGCTCTCTGCAGAGTCCTTGGAGGCTGCAGTTTTCTCTGCAGACTCTGTTAATTAGGTTTAACTGAAAAATGGCAGAAAACTGAAAAATGAGTATTAGATGATGTCCAATGCATTTAGAATGCACTAAAGGGGAACTACTGTGTTAAATTATAAGTCAAATCAGATTCAGAGCCTGAATTTCTGGGGTTGAATGAAGATTTTATCACATTAAATATTTCTCTGCAATCCTTTGATATTTCTAAATGTTACCCCAGAGTTCACCCTTCACAATCCAAGTCCAGGATACAAATTCAATGAGTATACAGCGCCTTACATTTACATAGTTGTGAAACTTTTTTTTTTTAAAAACTTATTTTGTCCCAAATTATTTGCCAATTCTCACCCACAGTCAGTTCTCCCCTATCAGATGACAGCTACCAGTCAGGGAGGGTGAAGGCTAATGTACTTTCTCTGAAACACATGAAGGCAGTCACCAGCAGTCATCTTTTCGAACTTCTGCTACATCACAGTGCAGTGTAACTGGAGGAAGGCGCTATCTACCCTTTTCCGCATACCTGAGCTCACGGACACCCATTATTGTCTAGTGTCGCCGTAATTGACCGATGAAACGTCACTCCTTCCACTATCAGGATTCAAACGTGCAATCTCCTGATTACAGGATGAATGCTTTTTTGTTGTGCCACTCACAAGCCCATAGTTGTGAAGCTTAAGGTTAAGCTCAAGTGGAAATTCCAGAAAACATCTCAACAAGAAAATCTTTAATCAGGCTTCCAATCTTTTTTTTTTTTTTATATTAATTTTGAATTTTTACAACATGAATTTTCATCACTTCAGAGTTTGCTACTACTTAAGATGTTGAGGTTCTCTTTGGGAGTGACGAGGTTGGACAGGATTAGGAACGAGTACATCAGAGGGACAGCTCATGTTGGACGTTTGGGGGACAAAGTTAGGGAGGCCAGATTAAGATGGTTTGGACATGTTCAGTGGAGGGAGAGTGAGTATATTGGTAGGAGAATGTTGGACATGGAGCTGCCAGGCAGGAGGTGAAGAGGAAGGCCAAAGAGGAGGTATGTGGCAGTAATAAATGAGGATATGAAGCTAGTGGGTGCAAGTGTTGAGGATGCAGAAGATAGGGATAGGTGGAGAGTGATGATTCGCCGTGGCGACCCCTGAAGGGAAAAGCCGAAAGAGAAGAAGAAGAGAAGAGTATGCTACTACTTGATTTTTTTCTAGACTAAATTGTCTTCACCTGAGTTAGGAGGAGTTGAATTTGGAATGACATTTAAAAATGTGTGACAACTTATGGTCACGGAATTTTTAAAAAAAAAGGGCAATTGGATATTATATTAATATTTTTGATGAAAATTTTTTTAATTATGATGAATTCAGCCCCAGGCTGTGGCTAATCTGATTTTGAAAGCTGTGGCAATAACACAGCCATTGATGTGTCCAGGATTTAGTTATACAACAATTTATTGAGTTTCTTTTTCCTTAAATTCATTAAGCATCATGAACATCATGAAGGTGAGGTTCTGGTGAATCTGATTTTAAGGTCATTTTAATCAGTTCAAATGTGTTAAAAATCAGAATAAATAAATAAATAAATAAAAGTCCATGTCCCTCCGGTTGAACCTGGTGGATGGTATCATTACAGTGCGTTGGTGCGCATCTCTCAGCTTTCCCATTGTGTAATCTTATCTTTAGCAAGGTCACCTCCATTCCACAAACATATCGGTCCCTCAGTCTTCCAGTGGGAACCGTACTTGCTGTGAGCTCTTTCTAAATATATCCCTGCTCTCCATTTCTCTCCCTGTATCAAAGATTCTGAGCATATAGTATAAATTACTTCAGTGACGGTTTACTGTAAAAGAGCGTCACGGTACAAGAGTGTCAGTCTCTGCACATGCCGCTTGATTTGTGTGTTGGGCAATAAAACCGCGCTAGCAGGCATTCACAGTTTTATAATGATGAATTATGCGGCAAAATCAGCAGCAGGCTCTCGTCTCTGGAGGGCCATTTCACTCACGTGTTTTACTTTCTGACCTCCCAGCCAAGCACAACAATCCGGCGTAGGCAGTTTCCGAAAACCATTCCAACACAGATATGCCTGCCAGTGGCTTTCTTTCAGCATGTGTGCACTGAGTCCTTTGCTTCTCCCTATCTCACTCTCTCTCATTTCTTAGCCCGTGTGGACTGCCCACGATAGTCTCCTCCAGGAAATACCACCTGCCTCATCTCTGGGGGAAAAAGAAACGTGCTGCAGCATTTTTCCCCCCCCTCATGATCACACAGTTCACAGCCAGTATAGTATAAAGCTAACTGCATCTGAGAGGAAGAAGAAAGAGAAGCAAACTAGCAAGTCACCAGTCAGAGCATTTCTATACAGTGTTTATTATACTTTACTATACTAGGGGTATATCACAATGACTGTCTACTATTTTTAGTGACTCTGACTGCCTACTTGTTCTCACCCTCCTGAAAGGAAAAGGTTCCTGCTTGCATGACTCTTTTGTCCTGCAGGATCCCAGTCCCAATGCACACATCTAATCTCAACACTGTGAACCTTGCAAGCTTTAATCTGTTTAGAACACATTATCTGTTCATGCTGCATAATATTTTCATATTCGGTTACATCCCTATACTATACAGTACCTTATTACTGTACGAGCATTATGATTAATGACACAGTGTTTCAGTAATGATGATTAAATATGCCATTTTAAATTTTGTGACCCCAGCAAAAAAGCTGCTGAGCCAATCGATATAATATTAATATATATATACACACACACACACACACACACACACACACACACACACACACACACACACACACATATACATATATATATATATAATATAAAATTATTAGACTACAGCCAGTATAAGACCTCTCATAGTGACATTATAACAAAAAAGTCTATGCAGGTAAGAATTGTATACCACTGTGTGATCCACAAACAAAATAAACTACTTTATAGTTTAACGAGGCCTGTTTCATTTAGGCTTGTTCAGATTGGTAATGAGGTCAGTGTGGCCTACTGATTGACTACACTTGGAGTGCACTGTCTTTCGCATCACCAGTGGCTAGTTCCCTGGCTGGGAGTCGAACCCGGGCCATGGCGGTGAGAGCGCTGAGGGATAACCACTAGTCCTCCAGGGACCCGTAACAGTGCTTTTTCAATATATTACTGATTTATTGATCGCTGAAACCTGGACTGTGAAACGGTTCCGCACGACAACATTTTTCACTGTGCTGGGAGGAAAGGGGCGGGTCTTGCACGGTGTTAATGACAGAGAAAAGCACCTTCCAAACACCTGCCAATCATTCCAGATTCACATGATTGACTACCTGGTTTTTTTTTTTTTGAAAGAAGAGTGCTCTTTTCTATGTATTTTTGAGTGATCGCTTGTAGCAGCATACTCTGATGTTAAAATGCCTATGAAAATGCATAAAGGTTAGCAGATCTGGATTTGACACTTCATTGCAGGCCTATTTAGCCTTGATTTCAGTCTGTGAAAAAGTCTGGGGTGGCTGAAACTTTGGTTTATCCTTAATAGATATAGTTATTTAGATATAGATATTAACTACATACTTGTCTAATGTTAGCTAGGTCAAACATACATTGATATACATTGATATATTTCAAAACATTCTTCATTTACCCTGTGTCAGTGCATCTTTCAAGCTGGAAAATCTTTCGAATATGAGAGTATCATCCAGTAGATTATTGTGAACCGGGGGAAGGGGGTGGGCTTCCGGTCAGTCATTCCAGATTCATATGTTGTTTAAGCCCATCTGCTCTTTTTATTGGGGGGTGAAAAAGAATCATACCAGTGTATTGCAATGTTAAAATGTAGAGCTCCTACCCAAAATGTGTAAGGCGTGGCAAGGTGAAATTGTCAAATTCATAATTTGTAATTTAAATCGCTTATCAGAACGGGGAATAATCCTTAGATTAGTCAATTATAAAAAAAATAGTCAGAAAAAGAGAACAGTTTGTCCACAGTTTCGGGCCACTGATAATAATTCAGCATGCTTTAACTTAATTATTACAGTGCATGAGTTCAGAATTCTGAGCACACAGTTTGGAACAATATGTTACTCTTCATGTTTTTTAATGAGTACAATTCTGCTTTTCACTCCATGTCAATGTGCCTTTGGAGATATAGCCCCCTGGCCAGCAACAAAATGCCCCACCAACAGAGAATAGTCATTAACATTTGATGACATTCTTAGCTCTTCTCTTTGCTTGACAGAATATTTCTTTCCTACATTAGGTTTTTTAAAAAAAAAATAAATAGATGAGGTGTGGTGCCCCACTGCTTCTTCATCTAGCCACTGTGCACCTTGTGGATGAGACTAGTGCGCTTTCTGCAGGAAGTCATATGAGATGGACAACTGAGTAAAAGGACAAGAAATCCTCCTAATATTACTTGTATACTGTATATTCGAGTTTCCACTATCATTTCATTAAATGCAGCAGACTGAAAAGTTTCTGCAAGTTTTTTGGAAAGGAAGGGCACTTTGTGTTTCACATATCCTAATGGTTCTGCAAGTCTGTCTTCAAAATACAAAAAGGTCAGTAATTTATATTTTACACTTTTTTCCAGTACATCTTCCTGTAATTAAAATATCTTTACACTTATTGGTCACTCTATTGTACACCCGCTCATTCATACAATTATTATCCGTGCTTCAGCCAATCATGTGGCAGCAGAATACATAAAATCATGCACATTCAAGTCAGGGGCTTTAGTTAATATTCACATCAAACATCAGAATGAGGTAAAATGTGATTTCAGAAACTGCTGATTATCCTGGATTTTCTAGTTTACACCGAAGATTAGAAAAAGACTTGGTCTTTTATCAGTCTGTTCACTCTGGGTAAGCCTGTGCCCACTGTAGCCTGACATTCCTGTTCTTGATTGACAAGAGTGGAGCCTGATGTGGTCTTCTGCTGTTGTAGCCCGTCTGCCTCAAGATTTGGCGTGTTGTGCATTCTGAGATGCTTTTCAGCTCACCGTGGTTGTAAAGAGTGGTTATTTGAGTTACTGTAGACTTTCTGTAAGCTCAAATTAGTCTGGCCATTCTCTCTCATCAGCAAGATGAAACTGCTGCTCACTGGATGGTTTTTGTTTTCCGCACCATTCTGTGTAAACTCTACAGGCTGTTGAACAGTTTTTGAAACACTCAGACCAACCCGTCTGGCACCATCACTGAGATCCTATTCTCTTGTTTGATAACGCAGCATTGTGTCTCTCAGCCTCAATGCTTTGACAGAATTTATGATTCTGTATCATTGTCACACAGGTGTTTGTCAGTGTTCAGTCCCTACAATACCCAGCATGAATCCTCACTGCTATTATCCGTGGATTTGTGAGTCAGAATGACTAGCTAGTCACAGGGGGAAAACAACACGTAATGGAATGAGGCTATTTGTTTTCTTTATCAAGTATAAGATGAATAATCCCTGCAGAGTGCAGTGTGATGAATATGAATGGAAAAAAACAAAGCTGTTATTTAAACTCTATATATATATAGCGGCTATAGGAAAAGAGAAGTGCTTCAGGCCTGAGGACTATGTGAGAGATTATTACAGAGCTGAACACAGAATATTCTTAACGCATTCAACACAAAAGAGATACCAGGGCCAGGTTTCTTAGAGAGTGGGCCTTGAGACTGTATCCAACGTGCAAGACTTAGTTTTTAGTTTGTTACCCATACATGTCATGTAATATTATCATTTTAAAAAAGCGTCCTTCTACAATGTGTTCTTCAGCTCAGAACAATGTGGGAAGACCTGAATATTTTTATGCACTATGCTAGTTGTGAATGAATGAATGTAGTGAGGTTTTCCATCCAGCACTTTTATGCAGAGTCTGAAAAAGCGAATAAAAAAAAAAAAACTGAATGGAAAAGCCTGAAATGGAAAAAAACTGAATGGAAAAGCTCGAAGAACTGCCTCAATGTTGCAGAAAAGGATATTATGCTTTGGCTGAGGTAGAAAAGTTGGTCTATCAATATAGACAGGGTGCGACGAAGAGCGATGAGCGAAACAGGTTTTTCAAATAAATGATGGCACAGAGGACATAAGTCACATTTTAACATTATAGCTAGATCTAAGGTTAAAGCATAATGCAAGCAATGTCAGATGTCTCCGTGGCCCTGAGTGGGCTAAAGCAGATCCTGAAGATAAACAAATACATATATGAATGAACATCGAATGACAAATCTCTCTATTCTCTGCTGTTCTGGGGTTCTTTTCTTTCTGTACACAGGTGAGAAACAGCTGTGCACTTTAGCTGTTTGGCCTTGATTCATTTCATTTTCAGCTAGAGTCAGCTAGCAAAAACTTTTAATGGTTGGAGTCTTTCAAAGTTGTCTTCCATGTCTAAGATGTGTCAATAAAAGGGTTTTTTTTTAGCGTTCTCAGTCTTCTGGAGGCTTCAGTGTGACTGCCGAGAAAGGCAAGTCAGTATTTTTACAATAGATGTCAATAGTTTCTGTTTTGATTTTGGCCCACATATCCTTTTAATCTTTCACTTCCTCTGTTTTGTGGTTTTTCCTTTGTAAAGATTTTTTTGATACAGTAGGACAAAAAGGTAAAAAAAAAAAAACATTGTATATAATTTGTTTGGTTGATAATTTAAACAACTTATGATTTTGACAACTTATGCTTCTCTCTCTCTCTCTCTCTCTCTCACACACTCTCACACACACACACACACACACACACACACACACACACTGTCTTTCTGTCCCTCGCTGTCTCTCTATTTTCTTTGTCTCTATCTCTCTGTCTCCTTCCTCCTCTGTCTTTCACTTTATCTCTGGCTCTCTCTCTCTGTATCTCTCTGTCTCTGTCCTTCTCTGATTCTCTCTGTTCCTTTCTGTCTCTGACTACTTTCTTTGTCTCTGTATCGCTTTCTCTGTCTATCTCTCTGTCTCTATCCTTCTCTCTCCTTCCATTGTCTTTCTGTCTCTCTGTGTCTCCGTCCTTCTCTGATTCTCTGTGTCTCTCTTTGTTTCTCTGTTTCTTTGATTGTCTCTCTCTCTCTCAGGTCCGCAGTGTAACTGCAGCGCAGACGGCTCAGTGGACCCAGACAGATGTGACCCGTACACCGGCGGGTGTAAATGTTTGCGTGGCTATTCAGGACTCCACTGTGAGCAGTGCTACAGCGGCTATTTCAGAAACCGTGCAGGTGGCTGCCAGCCGTGTGACTGTGACTCATCAGGAGCAGCGGGGCCGCAGTGTGATAGGTAGGTGAGAGAGAGTTTTTTTCCACAGAACATGCTTTGAGAATCCCTCAAGCAGACTGATGCACCTTACAAAGCAGTTGCCAAAGCAGTTGTTCACAGTTACATGTTTTGACGTCAAAGCGAAATGCTCATTTGCATGAGTGACCCTTGAAGGACTCATAAGTGGAAAAAGTACAAAAGGTGAGGCGAGTCATTATCTTAGTAGATCAAGAAAAAATGAGTTTGTCTGTAGTGTACATGCCTTTCATGGATATCCTACTGTTACATGTGACGTATAATCGCTGCCATTTTGAGGACAGAATAGAGGACCAATTGCGTTGATGTTATTGTTTCTGTGCTTCCGTAAGAAGATTCATTTTCATTTATACTGATAAACAACTGCACTAATACACTCCACTATGTACAACAGCAAACAACATCGCAGCCGATCCTCCTGTCATGCTGCCTCATAGCTATGTTAGATAGCTACGTTATGAGACAAATGCAGGCATTGCTAACATTAGTTAATTAGTTAGATGATATGGACATACCCTCTCTATAATGACAGTTTTTTTTGTCCTGCTGATGAAACACCCTAGGATCCTTTTCCCACCTGGACATGAAGAGCCGGTGTACTTCTGTGCTTTTAAAAACTTTTAGGCACTCCAGAACAGGGACAGTAGTTGTGTATGAGGATAAATATATCAGGAAAACACAAATTTGGTAAGTGTACTGCCAGTTTACGATGCATCAGCAGTTCTGGTGAAAAGACATAAATCTGTTTTATTAGCTTTGTCGAAGCACTGTTTATTCCCTTCCGATGAAAGGTGAGTAATTTTAGCCATCTTTCACCTGTAGATACATTCCCGTAACGTTCACACTCACAAGTAGCACGAAATTCAGTCCCAAATATGGTGACC